TATTCTCTTTGCCGACTTTCCAATCAGAAAAAATTGGATATGTGGTATTTCTCTACACACGTTCTACATGTGCGAGCATGGACTCACTAGGTGGGCTTGCGCACCCTCTGAGCCTACTGGTTGGACTAGCTCCTTTGGATAATCATTTTCGTCTCATAGTGTACGCATCCATATTTCATCATAAAAGGGAAGTATCCCGGTGCACGTGAACATACAAATATGCTTGAGGTCCACATATTTTTCTTCGTTGCGTAATAAATCATGCAGGACAATCCTCATTCTTTCATCACACATCACACTCAGTAATGTAACACTACTAATATTCTTGCTTAAATTAGAGGCATCATCACATGAATGCCATAAATAACATGTGTGGAAGTTTGAAATAAAATATTTACAAATGAAGACATGAACTTACATGTTTAATTTAAAACAAGAGAACTAACATAGTCTTTGAACATGAAAAATGAAATAATCATCCTATCAACTACTAAATGAAAATCAATGCATACTACTTCTCTATCATGATTTCTTCCATGGTAATTTCAGAATTCACCGTCACTTATGCAGGACCGCTTTACCTTTACGTGACAAATAAGGGTAGCTTGTGGCTTCAATATTTTAAGAAATACTAAATAAGTTACCCCATTATTGGGATTAGTAATGCAATACACACATTTAATTATGGGACATATCCTTTAAAACTATGACTTGACCTTGGACTCTTTCCAATTCCAGACATGGTTGGATGCGTAAAGCCCAAATTTTGGGCACAAGGCTCAATACATTAAAATAAACCCTAGGTTCAGCTACATAAACCCTAGCCCAAGCCCAATAAATTAAAAATTAAACCCTAGGCCCAAACCCAATACAGTAAAAAAATAAACCCCAGGGTTCAGCTACATAAAGCCACAAAAGCCAGCCACCCATGTAATAGAGCACGAAGCCTAAGTCGAGGCAGCCACTCACAAACCCTAGCCGCTACCTTGTTCTTCCTCTTTATCGTCATCTTCTTCTTCAAATCGTCATTCCCGTCCATCGCTTGCGCTGTCATATGTCACCATCGCCAACGTCGTCCCGCGCTGCCACGACCAGTCACTGTCGCACATCGAATTGTCATCGCCATCACGAATTGAACACTATCGTCATCGCCAGAACCACAATTTGGAGGAGTAAACGTAACCAAGGTACAATGCGTCAGCCAACGAAGTTACAATGTGGTTTCTTTTCTGAATAGTTCGAATTTGACTCAACCTCTACGTAGGAAGAAGGTAAGCAATAAAACTCTATGATTTATAGGAGTCGTTGTATCATGTCAAGTTGGGTTGGTTAAACTTGGGTGTTTAAATGTAGGCTCGATCTAAGTCGAAGTTGGACCAATATCTATAGGGTCGATTAGAAAAGAAGCTCTCCAAGTAAGAGGTCTTCCAATTGAAACTTAACTGTTTTTTTTTTCTTTTCTACAGGGGTTGAATATGTTTGGTATTGTATGGTTGAGTGTTGTATGATAGGATAGATGTTGATTATAAAAATAAATGTTTTGAGACCTATTGCATGCATAATTATGTTTGATGATTGAAAATATATCTGATATGAGTTGTGTGTGAAATAATGTCTAGTTGCTCATGAAAATAAACAGTTTGGGACATAATGCATGCATGTTACCTTTGATGATTAAGGAGGCTGTGGTTAGGGTTACATGTTGTGTGTTTTAAGTGATCAGCCACTAATGGTTACTCTACGAGGTGATTTAAGAAAATGGTTATCAAGGTAAGGGTTACACGCAATGTGTTTCGTGTAACCAACCATTGATAATCATTTTAAGGAGTTAGGATGGATGTTGATTTTCATGTGGTAAGGTTACACGCTGTATGTATCGGGTAACCATGCACTAATGGTCACTCTACGGGGTGATTGCAGAAAATGATTAACAAGGTAAAGGCAAGACACCTCTATATGGTTGATGACGACATTGCAAGTAAAGACCGAGGCACATGCATAGGATAGTGATATTTCATTTCTTAGACTTTAGGTAAGTATAGGATGTTTTTAATTTTAATATTTTATTGGTATTACTTAGTTTTGTTATGTTGCTTTAAATATTTTTTTTTTAAGAATGTAAGTTCATGACAGTGTTTTATGATGAAGTTTTAAATGTTTATTTTCGCATAAGAGAGTATGTTAGGATGACATTAGACACTTTAGGTTAGTATAAATCTAGGGTCATTATAGAGAAAGTGCCCCTGCACGTATGATGGTGAATGTTAGAATGGCTATGGAAGTCAAGATAGATAGTAGTATGCATTGATTTCATTTAGTAGTTGATAGGTGACATTTCATTTTTATATTAAAAAACTATGTTACTTTTTGTAACACTTGAACTTAGGAGGTATTAACGTCCTTTGTTTTCCTACTTAGGATCCAAATATATGCATGATAATTAGGTCGTGATTTTGTATTGTAGGCTAAAGAGACCGAGGCTCGAGTCGATGAAGAAGGAAACTATGCTCGAGATAGTTGTAAGATTAAAAAAAAAACGGACAAGATCAACATAGGAATAAGGTCATTTCGCCCCTACTCCTACCTGAGGAGTCTGGATAGTTGAGTCATCACAAGAAAGCGAAAGAAAGGGGAGGAAAAGAATAAGGGATATTAGAAGTTAGGATTTTGAAAGAAAAGAAGAACGGAGAAATCGGATGCCTCAAATCCACTGTTGGAGATTGAATCGAAGGCAAGAAACTTCGAATCAAGACTCCTCTTGGTGGTAGAAGAAGAGTTTGGGGGGTGGATTGCCCCATTCCGACTAGAAAATCCGAGAATGGACAAAGTAAGACTATGACCTTTTCGTTTCGATTTTTCCTAGATCTAAGGAGTTTCTTGAACGATAGATCTGGAGTTTTGAGGTGTCTAATTAAAAGAGGACTCACATAGGTTTCTTGAAGAAATCTCGAACAAAAATTGGAGCTTGATCGGAATTCGTGTGAACTGGTCAAGAATAGAAAACGTGAGTTTTTTGGTATCTTTGAATGGATTTAATTCATTCTATATTCAAGAAAAAAATAAAAGAAAAATATGTCGATGTAGGTGAATAAAAAATTTACGACTTTGGTGAAGAAACCAAGTCAATCCAAGTTATGTGCGAAAAGTTACGAAAATCTGAACTTCGATGTAGGTGACTGAACTTGATAGGAATTTAGTATAGGTAAATAGAGAGTTTTGAGAGATTTTCTCAATTTTTTTTGAGGCCAACTTTCCAGATAAGTTGATCACAATATTCATATAGTCATATTTACGTGTTCATGCAAATTTGAGATTACCAAATTTTGATACTAAAAATTTCACTCAAATTTGTGGGATTATGTGGCCAGCATGCAAGTTTAAGTTTACCAAAGTTTGACACTCAAAATTCCACTCAAATTTGTGAGGTTTATTGAGTAAACATGCATGTTTGGTTAAACAAAATTTTGACACTCAAAATTCCACTCAAATGTGGGGGATTATGTGGCAAACATGCAAGTTTGGTTAAACCATATATTAACACTCAATATTCCACTAACTCAAATATGGATTCTTCCCAGAGGTGAAGTCAAGTTTTTATTTTCATTCAACAATTAATTTAAATAATTAATTTCAAATCAAAATAATATTAAAGGATTAATTAAACAATTTAATTAATATTTAACATTAAATAAAATGTCAATCCGAATGCACATATTGTCTTCCTAATTAAAATATTTAAATCTTATTTAAATATCTCTAATTATCTCTTTTTGTGGCTAAATATATCATATATATATATATATGATATATTTAACATGTATTCCCTAATTTGAATTCGAATACTTTGAACTCACTCGTCACACTATTCTAAGGTTTAGTCCGATATGAGCTAGCAGAGGGACCTAATGGACCTACAAGTCATGGGGTCCAACGATCTTAGATTAACCGGCTAAACGCATTAACCTTGTTAACAAACATTCGTCAACTACTAGGACACTCCACTATAGCCTCCCCACTATAGATATATTTTTGTCCATTTGATATAACCATGATTAGTAAATCAATCCTTCACAGGTTGTTCGTAACTAGAGCTGGGTCAATTTACCATTTTACCCCTAAAGTTACTTATTGTTCCTTAAGTCCCACTGATCCTCTAATAAACAATTGGTTTGTGGTCCAACCACCAAACCAAATCCCTCTCGGGTCAATGAGAGGCTGGGCCCCTTGTTCAAGACTTGGAGTCAGTACTTAAGGGAACAACCTCTCTACTATATCTAAAAGCGGGTAGGAGAGAGTTCCATCTTACACCCTATGTCCCCAATTATTCAACCAGTCTTACCTCTGGAATGGAAGGCTTATTGAATCGACGAAATCGGGCCACTCTCACCCATGAAAATCTAAGGATAATTCTGAATAAACAGGAGTTCATAGTTAGCTCAGGATTAAGATCGAGTTACCTAGGTCATCGAGTGAAAAAATAAGTCTCAACAGTAAACAACATTATAAAGTGAGAGTGGTTTTCTTAATGGTCCGATCATATGCAATACTCATTGCATAGGACGCCCCCACTCACATGTCTCCACATGTACAATTTAGTGATCACATTGTTTATATCATATACAAAAGTGGGCCGCATCAATAGTGTCCCTAGAATAAGGTACTCAGCCTTATCCCTGTACTATAGATCATTTTGACTATATACTTGAACTTAATTCACTCTTATGTCTCTACATATAGTTCAAGTAATCATACTATAGCCAGAGTGTTCTTAGTTTATTGGATTTAGATTAATGATAGTGAACATTCACTTTATTCAATAACAATCTTTACTAAATAAACATTAATAATAACTTTATTGAAAACATAATATGTTTTTGTTTACAAACTATGAGTTTTAAGAACATAAAACCCAATAGGTTAGATGTGTAAAGCCCAAATTCTGGGCCCAAGGACCAATACATTAAAATAAACCCTAGGGTTCAGCTGCATTGTTCTTCCTCTTTATCTTCATCTTCTTCTTCTTTAAGTCGTCGTTGTCTCCATCACTCGTGCTAGCGCCACCATCGCCCATGCCGCTCGCGCCGCCACCGCACGTCGGACGACCACCACCAGTCGCTATCGCGCATCGAATTTTCACCGCCATAACGAATTGAACACTGTCGTCATCGCCAGAACCACTATTTAGAGGAGTAAACGTAACCAAGGTACAATGCGCCAACCAACAAAGTTACAATGTGTTCTTTTCTGAATAGTTTGGATCTGACCCAACCTCTACATAGGAAGAAGGTAAGCGATAAAATCCTATTTTTTGTAGGAGTCGTTGTGTCACGTCAAGTTGGGTTGGTTAACTTGGGTGTTTCAATGTAGGCTCGATCTAAGTCGAAGTTGGACCAATATCCATACGGACGATTAGAAAAGAAGCACTCCAAGTAAGAGGTCTTCTATTGAAACTTAACTGTTTTATTTTTCTAAAAGGGTTGAATATATTTGTTATTGTATGGCTAAGTGTTACGTGATACGATGTATGCTGACTATAAAAATAAATGTTTTAAGACCTATTGCATGTATAATTTCTGTTTGATGATTGAGAATATATCTGATGTGAGTTGTGTGACATAATGTATGGTTGCTCATGAAAATAAACAGTTTGGGACATAATACATGCATGTTACCTTTGATGATTAAGGAGGTTGTGGTTAGGGTTACACAATGTGTGTTTTCGGTAATCATCCACTAATGGTCATTCTACAAGGTGATTTATGAAAATGGTTATCAAGGTTAGGGTTACATGCTACGTGTTCCGGGTAACCAACCATTGGTAATCATTTTAAGGAGCTATGATGGATGTTGATTTTCATGTGGTAAGGTTACACACTGTGTGTATCGGGTAACCAGGCACTAATAGTCACTTTACGAGGTGAATGCAGAAAATGATTAACAAGGTGAGGGTTACACGCTATGTCTTTCGGGTAACCAGACATTGATAGTCTTTTTAAGGAGTAAAGGTAGATGTTGATTTTCATGTGGTAAAAATTACGCATGGTGAGTTTTGGGTAATTAACCACTAAGATCCCTCAATTTTGTTTGATTGTCATGTGATTGTTTATGTGTCTGACCTCAATAGAGGAGTTCGTTATTGAGTATTTTAATACTCATCCTTTTCTTTAAAATGATTTTAAGGCAAGGCTGTAGGCATGGGAGTGACGAGTAGGGTGGGAAAGTTAGTCATGAGGCAAATTGAGAATTTTATGGTTTCATTGATAGATGTTTCCGCACTTAGTTGTTGATTGACTTAAGCTGTGTTAGAGGACACTGAGTTTATGGGAACAAGTGTGTAATAGCCCAAACCCACTACTAGCAGAAATTGTTATATGATAATGTAATGATGTTCTATAATGGTGTGATGTTATTATATGATGATGTGATGATGTATATGATGATATGAGATGATGATATGAAATGATGATATGAGATGATGATATGAAATGATGATATGAGATGATGACATGACGATGACATGGTATGATGACATGATGATGATGATACATTATAACATGATGATATAAGTTGCTTGATTATGAGATGACTTAATATGATGATATTCCATATTAAGTTGATGTAGATGTATTAGATGCCACGATGTATTATGACGACAATTTTTCTAAGACACAACCCCAATCGATGTTAATGATGATGAACGTATGAAGGCCAATGCATGCATGTTACCTATGGTAATGTGTGAATGATGTATCGGGTTGTGTCATAAAATAATTTAAAGATAATCTATAGGGATCTCATGCATATTTTAGTCATATACATCGGGTTACTTTCTCATTTATGAGGATGAGTATGGACGCGTACACTATGACGATGATGATCATGCCTCGTATGATACTCGAGGGTCTGCTAACGTCCAAATAATCAGTTACGGACAACTAGCCTGATTATGATGGGTCCCGGGGTATGGACTGCTTGGAGACTCACATTCACACGTGTGGCTCATGTGTAGGAAAGTACTACACATCTAATCATGGGTTACATGTGTTAGCATTACCAGACTCTAATAGTGGGGTCACTTACTGAGTATTTTTTAAAATACTAAAACCATGTGCTACATTTATTTTAGGTAAAGGCAAGACACCTCTATACGGTTGATGACGACATTACAAGTACAGACCGTGACACATGCATAGGATAGTGGTCATTGGATAAGGTTAAGTAGGTAAACCAAGAAATGATATAAAATGACCATAATACCCCTAAGGTAATTTACCTTTGGTTCATGAACTAGATAACCTTCAAATATTATTAAACTCTGTCCCTTGGAACGCATGAAACCTTGGACAAAGGTTGTCAGGTTCATGACTAGTACTGTAAATCTTAAGGGGAGTGTCTTGGAGAACGAACCTGAGGAGAACAAGAACCTAGAAAGTACCAAGAACAAGACAAAGATCAATGACTATAACATGGATCAAGATCTAAGTTCCCAGACCAAGAACGAAGAAATAAGAACCATAGTACTAAGGAGGCCCTTAGATTATAAATAAAGTTTAAGGATCCAAGGACCAAGGTCCTTTGGCTAGATCATGATATGAACCCACAAGTCAAGGATAAGAACTAAAGAGCTTAAGTACTTCCAACAAGAACAAGAAAAAGAAAAGAAAGAGTGTGATACTCTAGCAT